TGGGATGGGGCAGAGGGGTTCAGAGTGTGGGAGGGGGCTCTGGGCTGGGGCAGGGGGTTGGAGTGCAGGGGGGTGAGGGCTCCATCTGGGGATGCAGGCTTTGGGGTGGGGCTGGGGATGAGGGGTTTGGGGTGCAGGAGGGGGCTCTGGGTTAGGGGGGCTTAGGGCTGGAGGGTGCAGCTCGGAGTTGGGGCATGGGCTTATCACCAGCAGCTCCCAGTCAGCGGTGCAGGGGGGCTAAGGCAGGCTTCTTCCTTTATGGGCCCAGGGCTGCTACTTCTCGATCCCTTTGAACCCCCCTCCTCATGGCTCTGATTTAGCCCTAAGAAAATAAAGCAGAGCACACTATGTGTTGTTGAATATCTTGCAGTGATTTTGAAAAGGGAAATTCAAAACATTTTATGGAGTGGTGCTATCTGCAATTTGTACACAATGAAGAACTCTATGCCTGTCCCAGTAAATATTTGTTGTGGGGTTTTAAATTTTTTTTCCTCAAGTCATGCCTGACCTTGTACATGTCGTTTTGTTTAGCGTCCTTGAGCCTGGCTTTAATCTTAAATAAAAGCACAAGAAATGCTACTTTTTCAAAGACAAAGCTGAAAGGCCATTGACAACAAATATTGTAATACTTTTATTCCACTTCACTAAACTCTTCTCCTTGTTAGAAGCTCTGATTCAATCCAGCTAACAAGGTTATCAGATTATACGTCTATTGTCTTCTTATGACTTCCTTGGCTGAGATCCTGCAGTAAACAATGCTGATGTGATGTTTTGTTCGAGGAGCAGAATAGGCGGGAGTTAGGGGGGAGGCAGGGAGGGAACGGCGGAGGAATGAGGGTTATGGAACTGTCAAGGCCTCCACAGCGGTGGCGCTGCACCAACTGTTACCTGCGGTCAATACTAATCAGTCTCTTGCCACATGTGCTCCTGAGGGGGACAAGCACTCTTTGATAGCATAGGAGCAGAGTTTGGGAATCTGCACAACATGCTGACTGGGATATAAGAGGAAGAGAAGGGAAGTAATACAGAGAGAATCTAAAAGTGTACGTTTGGATTAATAGATAGCGAAACCCTCAGAGAAAGGAAATTAAGCCCATGCAAAAACACTGAACTGTTTTATTAATTGTGTCAGCATGCATTTCCACTCACTGAATTACACAGCAAACAAACTGCTCAAGGGACAAGGGTAACTGCCTTTCCAAGGTTCAACAATCTGGTAGAAGGGAAATGTCATTGCACCCTACCGTCTCTACTCCTCCTAGTTAAAAGCCATGTGCATTCAGATTTCTGCTAGGATCTTTCAGAAACCTGCTGTGGCCCACTTGGCATAATTAAGATATGCAACAGTTGCTATTTAAATAACAAAGAATGGCAAAGCAGCCACTGAACAGTTTGGAGAATTCCTGTCAACATCACTTCTGTCAGCTAGTAATTCTGACTCTTCTTTTAAACAGTCATGATACCTTGGGAAGAGAGTTGTAATTCCTTCAACACTCTGTACATTAATACAGCAGTGACAGGAGTTAGCTGCAATTCCTGTGAAACACCACATGGAAATATGACAGGAGTTAGCTTCACAGCTCAGTGAACTATGACATAGAATTTATCTGGACCTATGAAGTACATATATGAAAACCAATGGAGGAAAACAAAATCACACTGGTAAATATATGATACCTAATGTTACTGCTACTATTACATCCTATAAAATTAGCTCAGTGGCTCTCAACCTTTCCAGACAACTGTACCCCTTTCAGGAGTCTGAATTGTCTTGCATACCTCCAAGTTTCACCTCACTTAAAAACTACTTGCTTACAAAATCAGACATAAACATACAAAAGTGTCACAGCACACTGTTACTGAAAAATTGCTTACGTTCTCATTGTTACCATTAAATTATAAAATAAATCAATTGGAACAAATATTATCCTTACATTTAAGTGTATAGTATATAGAGCAGTATAAAAAAGTAAAGTAATTGTATGAAATTTTAGTTTGTACTGACTTTCGCTAGTGCTTTTTATGTAGCCTGTTGTAAAATTAGGCAAATAGCTAGATGAGTTGATGTACCCCCTAGAAGACCTCTGAGTACCTGTACGTGGGTTGAGAATCACTGAATTAGCTCAGGCCACATGCTCTGTAGGGCCCTCACTCATGTACGAAATAGCATAGGTCAGGAGTTCTCAACCTTTTTTTTTGCCAGGCCCCCTTTGAAAATATTTCAGGTTGTGATGACTCTTCCCAAAAGTGAAAGCAAAGTGCTGTACATACTCATAGGAGATACTCATGGTACTGCCACCCTTACTTCTGCCCTGCTGCTGGCAATGGCGCAGCCTTCAGAGCTGGGTGGCCGAAGAGCGGCAGCTCCTCTCCCTCCCGCAATATTTTTTTTGTGATCTCGTGACCCCTGCTACAATAGCCTTGCAACCCCCTTTTGGGGCGGGACCCCCAGTTTCAGAAATGCTGGCATTGGTGAACCTTTAAAAGTTCAGAAATTTAGTTCAGCGTGGGTTTGAGTACTTCTCAGAACACCTTATATAAACTCTGTGAAACTCTTGGGCTTGACAAATTAGGTTACAATTATCTCAATATCATTTTCCTCACAAGATGTCAGTTCTGACTGCTTGTTCCTGATTGGGGTGGAAATACTTTACTGAAAGGATAATGTTTCTTGTGATATATCTGCAGTTCCACTGACTAGTAATCTCTGGGATCAGGAAATTCAGAAGTTGGAAAATTAACTTAAAAAACAAGTTTATTTCTGCATTTTAGGCAAAGGTCAGGGGAATTAATTTTATCCAGATCAGTTCATCCACCCCTAAAGTCCGTGAGGAGCTTGAGAAGAAGATACATTGCACTGCTTATATATAACTTGCTCTGATCACAGTGCTGAATCTTAAAATGATGCTGGCCAAAATGTGCTCGGGGTGATGAGTGTTCTGCGCGCTCTGTGTGGCTCGAAACTTGTCTCTCTCACCAACAGAAGTTGCTCCCATGAAAGATTTTACCTCACCCACCCTGTCTTTCTGAGCCTGCAGAGATAATTTGAAATTAGTCATTTGAGATAATTACCTGCAAGTCCTAAAGGCCCAGCCAATCCACAAACAAGGGTCTAACTGCAGGTATATAGGCTTCTAATGAAAGCAGCCGCTCCAGCCTGCTCAACACCACTTCCTTGTTCCAGATACTCCTTGCTAGTAGTTCTGACTGAATGTTCCTGCCCCTGCTCCAGCCTGATCCTTCACCTGTGCTTGCTCCCGCCGTGGCTGGTGGCCTGGCTGTCCTGACTTCATGGGGTGCTTTTGTTGAATACAGTCAAATTAGACATGTATGTGATGTCTAATGTAATCAAGCCAGACATGATGCTGACTAGAGCTTAATGGTCCAGAACAAATCATATCCAGCATTATGTCAGCGAACCATGATTAAACCCAATTTGTCCCGGTCTACACTGACCATC